ATGTCAGGTTCAGTAGAGCATCTTAACATAATTAATCAGTTAAGTTGACAGTCTGAGCATTGTCATTAGTAATTGTTTATATTATATTTCAGTTTGATCAGGTCACGAGCATTAGCACTACCTTTATTTTCACGGATCAGGTGGGGACTCAGACTAAGTACTACATTGATTATAATTACGGTACCATGTTTGAGGTATGTATTTCATGTCATGTATCCGCTCGGAATGGTCGCCGGTCCATTCTGGGTTCTAGTAGCCCTAGTCTGCCCACTAGAGTGTGCACATGGTGTCTGGCATTAGTTTGTGCTGGCAGATGGGGTAACGGTCATGGTTCACGTTCACGTGATGATATCAGGTTCATGTTCATGTTATTACCGGTTTCATGTTCAGGTTATGTATATATACCAGGATCATGATATTGTTATTATATTCACTGTTTACTTTAGTATGAGTTTCCACGGAGCACAGTGTTATAGTGCTCACGACCCACTGTTATCATGTTTTTCAGGTCAGGATGTCGGGCCGGGAGCGTGAGATGACGAATGCTTCAGGACTTTTATGTTATGATTGTATATATTTTGATGATATTACGTTTCCGCTGATTATGGTTTTGACGAACTTATCTTTTGATCGAACTTCATAAAAATTATGTTTTCAGTAAACCGTATGATTTTGTTAAAAAATTAAGATAACGGTTTTCCAAATTAAGTCACGTTTTACGGTAGCACCCCGAATCAGTTTTCGCAAAGTAAAAGAGTTTATTTAAATAACTTTGCGAAATTTTCGCACTTTGATTTCACGATAAGGCGGGGTGTTACACGCTACACAGTATGAAGACCAAAACGCGATGCATTACGCTATACGCATTTTAACACACTAACAAAAATGCAATATACTGAAGTTCATGAAATTGCATAAATGCCCTCTTAACTTATCTAATTCTCTAAAATAAGTCCCTATCCCAAACAAGCTTCATCCTCCCGTCACTGTCACTGCAGCTCAGCGTCGGACCACTCCCGTCGACCTGGAGGCTCCCGCCGTAAATGCTATGGTGTCAGTCGACCGCTGGCTCTCCTCCGACTAGTTTTCCAGTGAGAATGGCGAGCTTGTTTTTTGTTTTTCTCGGTGGAGATATGCAGCACTCAAGTGGTGGCTCGTGGTGTTCGATGGCCATGAGCTGCGGCATATGGCTTGGATGTTTCTCCGTTTGATTCTTGGTGGATTTTTAATAACACCACTTTGGTCGATGAGTCTCCGACGAGATGGGGGGACGGGTCGTGTTGCAGATGGCAAGAAGCTTGTCTCAGTGGGCTGCGGGGTTGTGGACGGCTGCCGGTGGCCATGAATGACGGGCTGCAGAATGTGAATCGCCGGAGTTTTAAAAACTCCACCTTGGTCGTCGAGTCTCCGACTGTGGAGGGGCTGATAAGCTTGCGTCTTGACGGGGCGACATCTACGTATGGTGGCACGACGGCGGTGGTTAGAGGTGATAAACGATGGTGCTTGTGGTGGCCGACCAGTGAATGGTTAAACGTACGAGGATGTGTGTTTTAGTGTGTGAACTATGTGTGAGAGAAAGAGTTAATGTGATTTATGGTGAGTAGGTTGGGCAGAAGGAGAGATAACGTGATTTATGGTGAGTAGGTTGGGGTGGGTCCCACTGGTAAGTGGGAATGTGATTAATTATTTATTTATCCTTAATAAGTGGTCAAATACATATATTTGACCACGAAATGTCCACTTATTCACCATATTGCCATCCCATGTTTGACAACATTATTAATGTTTAACTCGTCATAGTCATTGACTTCATGGATCCAATGGTTTATAATTATTCTTATTTCTTTCACTATCTATCAATCTCATATGATCCTCTCTTTCTTTCTCTCTCTCTCTCTCTCTCTCTCTCTCTCTCTCTCTCTCTATATAT